TTAAAAAAAAGTCTTTTTATTTTACATATCAACCTCAGTCCACTCTCCCCCCTGCTTCCCCCCTTCTCCCCACCCCACCCCCATCCACTCCTCAGAGAGGGTGAGGCCTCCCATGGGGAGTCAACAAAGTCTGTCACGTCACATCATTCGAGACAGGACCAAGCCCCCTGCTCCCCGCATGCCCCCACGCACCTCCCTGCCCCCCCCCCGTATCTAGACTGAACAAGGTATCCCTTCAAAGGGAATGGGCTCCAAAGAGCCATTTCATGCCATAGAGATAAATATTGGTTCCACTGCCAGTGGTCCCACAAATTGCCCAAGCCACACAACTGCCACCCACATTCAGAGGGCCTAGTTCAGTCTCCTATACAGGATCCCCAGCTGTCAGTCTAGACTCAGTGAGCTCCCACTAGCTCAGGTCAGCTGTTGCTGTGGGTTTCTCCATCATGGTCTTGATCCCTTCGCTCATATTATCTCTCCTCCCTTTCTTCTACTGGACCCCAGGAGCTCAGTCCAGTGCTTAGGTGTGGATCTCTGTATCTGCTTCCATCAGTTACTGTCAAATTTGATTTTTAAAAATTCATATCAGCAAATAGAAATACCTGTAGTGACATCCTATGCCAATCCATGGCTGCTATAACAAATTACCAAAAAACTTTGGGACTTAAAGAACACAAATTTACAAACTGGGTGTAATTTATAAATCCCTGTATTCTTATTACTTAAGAGAAGGTCAAGATCATCCTTGGCTAACTAGCAAATTTGAGGACAGTCTGGGTTACATGAAACCCTGCTTTAAATCAAAATAAAAAACAGAAATGTATTCTCTTACATTGGAGAAATGTAAAACACAAAAACAAAAATGTCTTCTCTTATCTTGGAGGCTTGAAGCCCAAAATCAGAGTGTGAGTACAGTCATGTCTCTCTGACGGCCTTCAGGAGGAATCCTTTGCCTTTTCCGAGGTTTTGGTGGTTACTGGAAATCCTTGGTGTTCTTGGACTTGCTATGTACTATTCCGGTTTCTGCCTGGGCCATCACATTGTGCTTTCCTGTGCATTTATTTATTTATTTATTTATTTATTTATTTATTTATTTATTTATTTTAGCTTCCCAGGTTGTTCTCTCTGTGTCTGTACTCAAATTTCTCTTTTTCTAAGAATACCAGTGAGGTACCAGAAAGACTTTTTGCATGTTCATTTCTGGACTCTGTGTATGTTCCTTTTGGGGGCAATATTTCTCCTCTACCTGTGGGCATGTGACACCTCCAAAACAATGTATCTGCTTTTAAATTTCTGCATTGGAAGTAGTGGAGGACAGATATTCCCATTCTGAAATGGAGAAAATAGAAGGACTAAAAGGGCTGCTTATCTAAAGACAGCTGGCGATCCAGAAAGGCAAGTTCCATTAGGCTTGTAGGCCTACAGCTAATTTTCTGTGGCTCAGTGTTGTCACCTGACTTCATTCTTTCAGCCCACCTGAGTGCCATCTTCTCTCTGTAACAAAAAAAAAAAAACCACCTTCTGTAATCTAGGAGGCAACCCCACCCTCTGGAACGAAAGAGGCAATGACTTCCTCCAATAGGCCCATACTCACATGTTGGCCAAAATAACAAACTGGAGTCTCTCACCAGCATTGCTGGCCTCCAAGTCATCACTGGAACCCATTATTCTGTTTTCCTGAAGTAACAATGCAAACCTACAGCAGGATAGCTTTCTTCATCACTTGGCTGCTGTAGAGTCTCAGTAGTCTTATAACCTCCTTTTATCGAGTCTTGTGTCTTGAGCTTTTCAGTCTATGGCGACCGTATTCTGCTGAGATCACCGATTTAAACCTAGTGTCCCATACTGAATCTTCCCAGAAAAGCTTTGTCTACCCATACACTGGATGTTGACACCAGAGTGACTATTTTGTGCTTGAAATACAAATAGATTGAGAAGTTGCCAAATCTTCAAGGTCTGCCCACTTTTTACTTAGTAATTCTTTTATGAGTTGAACTGTAACCCTACCCCAAATTCATATGTTGAAGCTTAAGCTCCAAATGTGGCTGTGCTTAGAAATAAGACTTGAAGGATGTGATTAATGTCAAATGTTTTTGTTATGAGAAAAAAAAACAACCAAGGATCACTTTCTTTCTTCATATTCCTGTATTAAGTAAAAACCATGCAAGCAGATAGAGAAAGTGGCCACATCCATGCCATGGAGGAGGCCTTGGGAAGTACATTGGTTGATTGTTTGCTTTTGAGCTTCCCCATCTCCAAGCAGTGAGAAGATGGCTTTCCATTGTTTAAGCCACCCACTCTGTATATGGAAAGCCAAGTAGACTAAGAACGGTTTCCACAGCAACATATCTCTTTCCTCTTTTATTTTCTATAAGCAGCAGAAAGAAAACATACTGTACCTTCATACTTTGCTTGCAAGTTTTGACAGCCAAAGGTTCAAGTTCACTATTTGAACACACTGCTTTCACCCAACAGGGCAATGAAATGCTTCTCTTCCACTCTAAAACGTGTCCTTTCTGCCACCCTCCTCTAATGCCTCTTGTTTGCGTTGGAGACTGGTCCAGAAGCAGTTCGTTTTCCTAATAGCACTCTACTCAAGGCAGTGTAGTCTTCTCAAGATCATCTGTCTCACAACTCATAGTAGTGATATACTAGACAGCTGTCACAGCACTCTCCTGTTGTTAGTGCCGGATACAGAAACATCTGCATCTCAATTTGAAAATCTTTCCTCCTTTTCCAGGCTTGCTGGAACAACCAGAAACTGGGTGGACTGAACAGCAGTTATGTTCTCATGTTTCTAGCAGGTAGAGATCTGGATTTGAGTTCATGAAAGGGTCCGAGTCTCTTTGAAGGCTCTAGAAAGAGGATCTTTCTTTGCCTCTTCCTACAGTCTGGTGATTACAGACCAACCTTAATATTTCTTGGCTTGCAGGTGCATTATTGACTCTCTGCACCCACTGTCACGTGATGTTCTCTCTTGTGTGTCTGTATACCGTATATTATCACAAGGTGTTCTCCTCTTTGACTGTATCTCTTTCCTTACTTTCTTATTCTTAGAAAGACACCAGTCCTTGAATCAAGTCCCACTTGGTTACATCTGTTAGGATAGTGGTTCCCAATAAAGTCATATTCTCAGGTACCAAAGGTTAGGACTTGAAAGGATTTTGGAGGACATACAATTCAAACTACCACACATACTCATCCAGGACTGGTTGCATCAAACTTTTCTCACAGAATAAGATGAACATGAGAGATCCAAATCCCACTCTCTTAACAACTGAACCCAAGCAATGTCCATTAAATATGAATTCCATTATAGTTAATACATAATCAAGAGTTTTTCATTTCTCCTGCTTGCTCCTGTAGAGCCTTGTACAGTCTTTAAAAATGTATTGTCACCATGTTATGACTATCTGTTTGAGAGTTTCCTCCAGTAGAGTGAGTTCCTTGATCTATGTGACTTACTGATCTCTGTAGCTCTAGTGCTTATTATGTTACACAACATACAGTCATAGGTTCCTGGGGGAGGAGGGAATGGGCTTGTTTAGTTATAGACAGCAGCCTTGGGAATAGAAAGGAACTGTGAGCTCAGAGTGCCAGTGTCAAGACTCTGTGCCTTCCAGTCTGATGTTTCTAGACCTAGAGCTTTTCAGGTGTCACTGTGTGATAAACTTCCCATCGCAAAGCAATTCCAAATTATGAGATCATGAAAGTAGCTTTTTCTACCAAAAAAAAAAAAACTTCCGCTTCAGTTCAACAGTAGGTTCCCACATCGCCAGCATACCTGTGGAGAATAGAGATCAGAAAGCATTATCTGCAGTCTATGTCTTGGTTGGCTAATTCCAATAAATGAACTAAGTGCAAACTTAAGTCTGAGCCCTCAACAGCAACCCTTTTAAGGGACTATTGTCACCTTACATCTGAGAGAATGTATTGTTCTTTCAAAATCTTACCATGCCTTTATACGCACAACCCATTATAATAATGACAAAAATAAAAAAAAACTTTGTGAGTCTATGCCTAAACTTTTTTTTTTTTTTAAAAAAAAAGCAGTAGAAACTGAGACATTCATAGGAACAAGAGAAAAGACAGGGGAAGTCCTGTGAAAATAAACACAGAACCAAGTCAGGGGGATCCAGTGCCTATACATCCATGCAACTCAAACCATTGCTCTGATACATGGCTAGGCTATGCCTTTCCTGTAGTGGTGAATGTCAGGCTGCGATATGCAGATGCTGTGTTCACAGGCATGATAACAAAAAGGTTAAAGTGATTAGTATGAAAGAAGACAGTAAGCAAAATGTCACCATAAGGACAAGGACTGTGTCTTGTTAATGATTATATCTCAAATGCTTTGAAACGTTGCAAGCATGTAATAGTGATTCAGTAAGTATTTGTTGAATAACTTATTGGACGAATTAAAATGATTAACCAAGAAACTGCTGTAGGCAGTCAAAGCATGGATTTCAAAAAAGGAAAAAGCTCATGCAAAGAGGATTTAAAAGTCTTTCAAGTGTTGTCCAAGTAGAGTAATGTTCTGCTCACTTGGCAGCTGTATTAAGAAGAAAGCGAAAGCCTTGCAGGTATTGCCGAGTTCTGTGTGTGAGCCTTGCACCTGCCTTGCTTTGTCTGAGCATTTGGATAGCCCTCAATTTCCAGCTCACCTCTTTCTTCTGCTTTCTATTTAAAGAAAGCCAAGACCAATCAACAAGTTTTGCTTGGACTAAACTAATATAGTGGTTGAGCAAGATAAAGAAAGACCCTTGCTTCTGTGTTTAGCCCCTATTTGAAATAATTCCCATCTAATTTTTTCCCTTCTGAAGCCAGTAATCAAAAGAAATTAAAACAAAAAGTGGGAGTTGTACCTACTGGTCCTCTCTTTCACATGCTTTGTCACCTACATTAGGGCTATATTAGCCCTAGCAGCAGAATTTGTGGTCTTCCCGAGTCCACCTCTGTGGTTAACCTCAATTTTTTTTCTTCTCTTTGATTTGCTTTAGATACCTGCAGCCGAAAACAATCCTTACCTTATCGGAATGCACTACTGGTATTCCAGCCATAGTCCTCGGACACAGTTCTGCAATGTTTGTCGCCGGAACATTCCTGCCTTATCTCGAGATACCATCATCTGTGAAGGTACCTTTCTGTTCCATTAGAAAGCAGAGCTCACTGGAGAGAGCTAGGCACGAAGGGTCTCCTATTGCCTAGTATTGCAGACCTAATCTAAGTCTTTGTGTGAAGTTAATCCTGTGGGAGGGAAAAAGAAACTTGCTTGAAGGGGTGTTCTCATGAATAAAAACGGAGGGTTGGATATATGAAGATGGGACTATATGGTCAGAAGGATTGAAAAGACAGAAATCAGTTCTTTCCTACTATTTATTTTAATGTAAAATGGGTAACAGGAAGCCTAGCTAGCTAAGAATCAAAAGGAACTGGTTTACATAAAAGTAGACCTTTGGAAGTAGGTCAAAACTATATAGAAAGTGCTTGGATTCTAACCTCCAGAGAAGCTTAAGGAAGGGAATTAGAGTTCTCATTGTTACTAGACTCACACCTATTTTCTCCTTCCTCCTTTCACAGTCTGCAAGGTGAAATCACACAAAGTTTGTGCATTGAGAGCGAGCAAAGACTGCAAGTGGAATACTTTGTCCGTAACCGATGACCTCTTTCTACCTGCTGATGAAATAGTAAGTACCAGCCATATCCTCCCACAGACACCTTCTCCAACTCATTTAAAGTCATGACACACAGGGAACGGAAGAATTCTTCCTGTCACTAGACCAGCACAGCAGTCTCTTCCTCTTCATAAGATCCAATGACCCAATGAATATCATTGAGTTAAGCCCCAACTGCCACCTTTCATTGGTCAGTAGCATTGAGGGCAGGTCCAAGAGACTCTTAGCTCATGTTCTCTGTGTGGAGTATAATTAGCCCAGTCTTACTTCTTTGATCACTAATTTCTGTCTTTTGCCTTTTTCCACTTTAGCAAACAATGCCCCATCAGTTGGTAGAAGGAAACATACCTGCCGACTCTCGTTGTGCAGTATGTCATGAGAGCTTCGGTAGTCATCAAAGGCTTCTGGAATTTCGCTGCCTCTGGTGCGCGTCTACGGTGAGTCTCTTTTCATAGCTTTGATACTTGAAGCTTATTCCTAGAGAAGAGGTAGATTGGGGATTGTCTATAACTATATAGGGATAAATAAGTAAATAGATATGTATCTCAGAGACCCTTACAACAAAATGCATTATATAGATTCCATAGTACAGAGCTCAGTAACTTCCCTTTTGTATATGATGAGGGAGTCTTTGAGAGAAAGATTTAAAGTGTTCATAATCTGATGCTTATTATTAATGAAGCCATTCTGCCAATGAGAAAAGCTGAATTCTCAAATGACTATATGAACAACTAGAAATAAATTCTGGAGTCTATCCTTAAGAAAAGATTCCTCCCTCATTTATTATTTCCTAGAAGCTTATAATCTTTATTAATGGTTAATAACAATGATCTAAAAATTATCATTGCCACTGTGTAATAAATATTTTCTATTCATGATCTCAATCATTAGAACAACATTGAACAAAGCCTCATTGTCCCCATTTTACATATGAGTAATGTGGAGCTCAAAAAGATAGACTCAAGGTCATATGGCCAGCAAAAATAAAGTCTTGATTAATAAATAATTCTAATAGAATATAATTCTAACTATAATAATACCACGTCTTGGAAACGCTAGACCTCAACTGAGGATAATTTTTGCTCCAGTAAACATTTTCCAATATCCAGAGACATTTTTGATGGCCAAACCTGGACTGGACGGGAAGGATGCAACTTGTATCTCATAGATTCTTCAAAACTTATAATGCTCAGGATAGTATTTTATGACAAGGAACAATCAATATTACAGAGCCAAAAATAATCAATATTACAGAGATTGACTTTTTAAGGTTTGTTTCTCTCAAACTGAGTTTTCTAAGATAAGAAGAAACTGAAGTGAGCTTCTTCCCTGAGTATTATGTCCACTGGCCTCTTTTTAATTCCCTTTGAATAGCCATGCCAGGCTCATGTCCCTAGAAAGTGCAATTGTTTAGAATGTGGAGCTTAAAGAAGTTTGACATCCAGGAAAAATGGCAGCTTGCCCAGAAGTTTGCTTTGACACTTCCCGGCTATTTGACCTTGACTAAGACCCTTGACCTCTGTGGGCTTTCGCATATGCTCGCGTCTAAAATGAGCTCAGTGATGCTTTCCCCACCACATACAGTTGTTCTAAAGATTGAAGTATAAACATCCTATCAGGATTAGGACTTTTGAAATACAATGAAATTTCCCATTCTGCAGGCTACTAAGGCTGGTGACAGTGCAGTAGCTGTAGTTGGGAATCTTAGGAAAGACACCTTTGAAAGGACCAGAGTTCTACACCCTAAGTGATATTGCAGTTTCACAGTAGAATGGGGTGGGGTGGTGTCAGGTGAGTTAAGGTTTATGTAGATAGTACCAGTGTCAGAAAAGGAGACTTGAAATAGAAAAGGCCCAATTCTTGGGATGGAACCGAAAACTAATCAATCTTTTCTTCTTCTCTCTCCCCTTCCTTTTTCTCTTGTGCTCTTATCGTTTCAGGTGCACGGCGCCTGCCAGAGGTGGTTTTCCAAGGAATGTTCCTTTGGAAGTCGTCGCACGTCGATCGTACCACCTACGGCGCTGTGCGACCCTCGGGGCGATGGTGAGTAGGTTAACCTTTACTTCGGAAATACACTGGGGAGGGAGGGAAGGTATAAAGGCTGGGAAGGATGACATGAATTATTCTCCACAACTAGCAAATTATCTGGGGTAAATGTGAATTTTTATGTGTGCATCAAAAAGCTAACCGTTAAGCCTTCAAACATTTTAGTGACGAGTATAGTGCTCTGGTGTATGTGTATTGTGTATGGGCATGTTCTCTGTAGACTGTCAAAATTCTTTCTGACTTTTCAAAATTAATTTCAACTTTATTAACTTTTTGAAAAGATTTTCAAATACTACCTATTCTAGGAAATAAATCTCATAGATTTTTGATTCAATGGTTCAAAACCTATGGAAAACCTAGGTTATATTATTTTTAAAATGGAAACTAACATCAGAATTTTTACCAAATATGAGACTAGCATGGTTTTTGCCCCAGTACTCTTCACTGATAATTTGTCACTTTCTGGTCAATAGGAATTTATTAAAAGTTATTTTCACAAGGTTCTTGAGTTCTAAATTAGACATTATACAGTAAGTAATCATGATGAATTCAGGGTCTTGGTATAATATCACTACCAACAATTGAATGGTGCATATTTTAAGTATCAAAGCAATAATAGAGACACTTGGATATCAGGTAAGTGTCAAAAATATTGACAAAAAATATGGGTGCAGACAAGCATCAGGCTATTGAGTGAGCCATTTCCAGAGGTTTCTGAAGCAAGTGTAAGCATGTGCCTCATAGTACCATATAAAGAAACAAAAACTAATTCATTCAGAGATGCATAAATATATTATTCTCAGATCTATTCAAATATTTATCTTCATAACATCACCTACTAGACAATTGGCTAAAGAGGAGAAGAAATTGATAACTTTATCAATGAGAGATGATTGACTAGAAAAAAAGAATGAAGAGGTTTAGGGAAAATGGAATTGATACATGGAGAAAAGTAACAATCTAATCCCCTGAACAAATTCAGGCTACTCACCAAGTCAACCTACTTTTTTCTTGCATTATTACCATTCATTAATTTCTCCCCTTTTATTGAAATAGATTGTTTTTTCATACAATATGTCCTGGTTACAGTTTTCCCTCCTTCCCTCCTCCCAGTTCCTTATCACTTCCCCTGCTATCTAGATTCACTCCTTTTCTGTCTCTAAGAGATAACAATAAAACATAACAAAATAAAACAGGATAAGATAAAATAAAAACATTACACTGAGTTTGAACCAGGCAAACCAACAGAAATAAAAGAGTCCCAAAAGAAGGCAGAAGGCAGAGACCCACTCGTGCAGACACTCAAGACTTCCATAAAAATACTAAACTGAAAGCTATAATATATACACGAAGGACCTATACATGTGCCGGCCCTGTGCTTGCTGCTTCAGCCTCTGTGAGTTCATTTGAGCTTTGCTCATGTTGATTTAGAGGACCATGTTCTCCTGTTGTCCTCCATCTCTTCTGGCTCTTACACTCTTTTTGCCTCCTCTTCTATGGGGTCCCTGAGGGATTTGATGGAGAAATCTCATTTGGAACTGTGTGTTCAAGATCTCTCTCTCTCTCTCTCTCTCTCTCTCTCTCTCTCTCTCTCTCTCTCTCTCTCTCTCTCTCTCATATCTGGCTGAGGGTCCCTGTACTTGTTTCATCTGCTGCAAGAGGAAGTTCTCTGATGATGGAATTCAGGCTAAAATCTTAGGTTTTGTGCTCCTGTTTCCTTCACTATTACCTCGAGATAGCATCCCACAAGATCATCCCAACTGTATATTAATGGGGATGGTAACTATTTGTGCCCAAGTCAAGCATGTTCTGAGCTTTCTGTCCTTGTAGAAGTTTATTGTTTATATCAACTGTGAGGTTATTTTTGTCCTACAGCACGTCTGATTCTTGTTATGGATCATCAGCTAATGGCATTGCTTTCCCTTACATAGAAGTGCCTGGACTAGGCTGTTATTTTGTGTCATCTAGTGTGCAATGAAGCATCTTTTAATTTTGGCTTTCATGTAGCAGCAATCTTGGTCCACTTGGATATCACACTGGCAACCCTTTTTTTCTACCGTGCATTACATAACCTGGACTTCCTCAAAAAGGGCTTTAAAAAACTCCCTTTCTTCTCGACTCCTTCTGGGCTTCTTAGCCTCAACAAATAAGCCCTCAAAGGAGTAGGATTCCCTATGTGATGTTCCATTTGAGGGGAATCTTCTTCTGTGTTTCTTGGTCACAGAATCTTAGTGGTGGTATTGTGGTTAATCCACTCCAGCCTCCCAGTCAAGCTAGAAAGCTTTTCTCCAGCAAGCAGATGGTGACCTTCTGCAGTGGCCTTTGCCAGTGCTGCTGTGCATTCATTCCTGCATTCATTGATTCCATCAAGGGGCTCCGATTAATTGTCAAGACCTCCAATTACCCACTTTTCTCTACTTAGTCTTTAATAAGTTCCTTTAGGGTATAGCTCAAATCAAGTATTACCTTCTATTACTTCTCAAATGGTCTCTTCCCACTTCCCCAAGTTAATTACTTCCTGGACAGTAAAGTAGGAACTCACACAGTAGTTATTAAACATAAGCATGCATCAGATGCATCAGGAATAATTTATTAAAATACAGCATTTTGGGCCCCACCCTCAGAGGTTTTGACTCAGCTCACCTGCGTGAGGCCCAATAATTTGCATTTCTGAGAAGTTCCCTAATGCTTTCTATACTGCTAGTCCTCTGAACATGCCCTATCATTTACTGCACAATCTTAGACAAGTTATTTAATGTGTTTCTATTCCTCAGTTTCCCACTGTTACTAAAGTTTCTTTAGCAAAACATGTAATACAGAAATGTGCATGGCTCAGTTTTGATGACCTAGGAAAGCAGGCCCTAACGAAGCTTCTGCCATGACACTATTTTATTGTATGACCACCATTCTGCTATTATTCTGCTGTCTACCAGCTGCCATGTCCACAAACTCAGTGATCATATCACAGCGTTCATAAAGACAGCAAATCCTCACAGTATCTCCTGGACATGTTTGCTACCACATAGTGTTGAGAACTCATTCTCCATAACCTTCTTCAAGCTGGAAGGGTGAGCCTAGCTCATGGTGTCATTTGTCACTTCTTTCTACAGATGTAGAAATGCTCAGGTCCATTACAAAGGTTAAATTTATTTAAACATCATTAAAGATGACTTTTAATAGTATAGGAAGGGCAACAGGAAGCAGGACTTACGCCAATTTAGCATCCTTCTGTGGCGCAAAGACAGTGAACGGCAGTGAGACTAGTGGTCCCCTGGCTTAGGCAACTGGATTAGTGCAGCCGAACAAAAGCATGAGCTCTTCTTAAGAGGCTCTTCAGGGTGTTGACTCATATCCTAAAGCCCCTGTGCTCTTTCCCACTTGAATCTGCCAAGCCAAGTCTCTATTGTTCTATCCCAGCGTAATTTATGTCCTTGAGCCTGAACATGAAGACAAAGGTGCACACTTACTCACCTGTTTACTCTGACTCATATGGCAGTTGAGGCCATTTTCTGCTCTTGATTTTCATCATCCAGTAGCTCTTTCTCGACTCTGGGACACTTCATACTTTACAGGCCAGCTTTCTGTGCTCTCATCTGAACTACAGAATGAACTAGTGAAATGGTACAGGACGTCGGCCACTTCAGAGCGACCTTGTGAGTCAGCCTGGATACCTGAGTATGAATCTATCATTTCTGCAGCCCAGATCACAATGCATTTATCTTTGCAACATGCTGCTATTATTCATACGAGAAGATGCACCCTTAGAGAACTTAAGATGTTCCTGTAGTTTAATGAATTAACTGGGGAGGGGGCAACCAACTGTAGCATACAGCTACCTGTCTCTCACATAGAAATATACTACAAGGTATAGTATAGTATACTGTGCCCAAAGTTGCAAGACGATTCTAGAACAACATTTCCATTCTGCTCTCATGGTTATTTAACTTGTAAGTAATATTAACATAATTTTCATTTTCCTATTTCTTAATTCTCTACTGGAAAATATATTTACATAGGCCAATAGTTTTCTTTAAAAATAATGCAAATTCTTTGTAGGAAAATCTTGCATCTATCTTCTCTCTGATTTCAGTTTCCTATATCCCTCTCCTCAGTTAGTAAATTAGTTACTTTTCTCATTGCTCTGAACATATGCTTCACAAGAGGCAACTTAAAGTAAGAAGGATGTATTTCGCAGTTTGAAAAAATACAGTCTAGTTCATCATGGTGGGAAAAGTGTGGCAGCAAGTGACTCCATAGTGGCAGCCACATATGAGCTTGCACACATCAGTGCAGACCAAGAATCAAAGAGATGGGGGCTTGAACTTTACCTTTACTAAAATAAGAATCATATTTTGTCCACCAATATAAATAAGGACGGCACAGAGAACATCCTCAATACATATTTGTTGAATGAATGAATGAATAAATGCACAAGTGAATGAATGCTTGCATGAATGAATTAATGTGAAAAACTACTATTATGATACCATTTTACCTTTCATTAAAAATTGTTGATAACGGTATTTCATTTGTTTATGGGAGATAATTACATCCAAGTTATACTGCTAAGGAAAGATAGTCGATTTCACTTGTAGTTGCCAGTTGAAAATGTGCAGAACTGCTTAGAATGCCTTGCGAACCAACCACCAGTCAATTAGTGGGAGCTGCCTTTGATTTTTGCCAGGCACAACACTGTTTTTAAAAGTTCAGCATCACTACCCATTTTACATAAGAGTGAGTCTCTGTAAAATGTGATGTAGGTCATATCTTATCTCGTCTCAATTGCACTTTTTCTTTTTCTTTTGTGTGTCTATCAGGCCAATTAGTGGTATCGCCTGACTTCTGGAGCCTCGAATGGCCATTGACTTGTTCCTGTCCCTTGCTCGTCTTCGTCAACTCCAAAAGTGGAGATCACCAAGGAATCGTCTTCCTCCGAAAATTCAAGCAGTATCTCAATCCGTCTCAAGTATTTGACCTGGCGAAGGGTGGACCTGAAGCAGGGTAAGTATGGGCTAAAGAGGCATGGTTGGGTTTACACAACAGTCTCCTACCAATTCACATTCTAGGCTAGAATGATTAGTCCTTGTACCCCGGCAGATACACAAATATATGACTCTTTCCCAGAAATCACTTCAGTCTCTTTTCCTGCTCCCACACTTGCTTCACTTTTTCTGACTGGCAAGACAGAAAACTATGCCCTCTGACATCAGAGGACGAAGAAAAGGGACTTCACTACAGACTTATTTTACTATGGGATCTTCTGCCAATTCAGTGATGGTTTTGGGGAGCCACTAACAGCCATGCAAAGTATTCTTCTTGAGACTCAGCAGACGACTAGATTATTAGTGGCTTCTAGAGAAAAGATAAGCACAAAATAAGATGAGTCGAGGCAAGATCTGATTTCTGAGATTGCCTTGTGAAGCTGTGGTCCCAAATCAACAGAGAGTACGAGGCTAATGGAAAGAGAAGGCAGAGTGGCCCGTTAGCAGGGTGCTAAAGCAGGAGTTCTTAGGTCCTGACAGACTGGGAGAAACAGAAATTCCAATTCGTCATGAAATTATTTCCCTTTCCCCTTCTTCCTTGCAGGATCTGTATGTTCAAGAACTTTAGTCGTTTTCGCGTTCTGGTTTGTGGTGGAGATGGCAGCGTGAGCTGGGTCTTATCCACGATTGACGCCTTTGACGTGCATGATAGGGTAAGTGTCTGGCTGAGTCCGTTTAACCGTTGCTAGAAAGAATGGGGATGTGGAGCTGTCTAGTCCAAGAAGTCCCAAGTCTGCACTCATCCTATCTATAAATGTGTCTTTTACAAGCTTAATGGTTAACTTGACCAATCTAAACATGTTCATCCCGTTATTAGAATGGGGTCCAATTCCTTTGAGAAAATATCATTCAACTCCAAATACCCTCTTGTTTCTCTTGCTATAAAGCAGTTCTTAAAAAACCCCTGGCTGTAAGGCCAATTCCTGCCCATTCCTTCCCAAAGAGCACCCTCAAATTCCTTCAGCGAGTGGAACATGGTGGAAGGACCATCTGAAAGAGTCTCTATTTTTCTTACAGTGTCAGCTGGCAGTCATCCCGCTTGGAACTGGTAATGACCTCGCTCGGGTCCTTGGCTGGGGATCGTTCTGGAATAAAAACAAGTCCGTACTGGATATTCTCAGCAGAATAGAGCAGGCTAACGTGAGAATTCTAGACAGGTGAGTGACTAAAAGGCCGTGTCCTTGTGCCGCTTCTATTTATATCATCTTAGTCCAGAACCCAGCTTCCTTGTGATGGAAGGGCGGGCTCACTTGGAAGGTCTTGTCCATTGAGAAACCAGAGAGCCATGGAGCCAATGTTGTAGAAGCCCCACTTCCCCCCCTGAAAGATTATAGAGCAGGGGCTTTGTGGACAGGTTTCAAGGGTTCGCTGAGTGCACAGTCAGTTGTCCAGTGGAAGCATACTGACTCTTGAGAAAGAATCTATAGTATTAGCAGGCCCTCAGAGAAACTGTGGAGTATTCAGTGCCAACTGGCTCATATTTTCTCTGCTCTAGAGAATAGAGAATATCATCATCCTATAATCTGAGAAATAGGACTATAAGTCAGGTGTGGGTTTTCAAGATACAAACCTGGGGTCATTACAAGGATTCTTATTCCTTAGTTCTTGGGCAAGGATCTAGCATAAATACTCCATAAAAATATTTCTTGAGCTCATGAAGCTACCTCTGGTTGACAAACACTGATTTCTGAGAAAAATTCCTTCCATCATACTCACCTAGGGATGTCATGAAGCAGAACCCCCTCTTATGTATGCTTTGAGGTTATGTACACTGCTTGAGTTCACCCTGCATGCCACTTCCCCAAGCACATGAATGCTTTGACTTCTTTCTTGAACTCTGATTTCACTTGTAATTAGCAGAAACTTAAATAACATTTGTGTTTAAATTTCATTTTAGATGGAGCGTGATGATCCGTGAGAACCCCAGACAATTCCCACTGCTAAAAGGACAGGTGAAAATGGATATACCAAGATTTGAGGTGATTATTGTTCAGCTATAATTTAGAGCAATCACTTTAGCACAAATGAAATATGAAGAAAAGCCTAGAAAGAATATGAAGTACGTCTATGGACTCCATGAGGCTGAGCTCTCTGAGGACAGGAGATGTCAGTCAGCAGCTTTTCACTGCAAATACATTTGGCATTAGGGAAATGAGTCACTTTAGCTATTCATTCATTCATTCAAAATTGTTTGTGGAATAACGACTGTATATGAGGTACTGTATTAGGAAATGTTCTTACATGTTAGTAGCTAGAGAAAAATTATATAGCCCCTGTTGCGCAGAGCCCAGAGGCTATTTAAAGGTAGACAAGGTAACGTTTTAATGAAGTGCTACATGTATGTCTGTATGTCCCTCTGTGAGGTGTCATGGAAAGCATACAGAATGAGTCCCATTTCAACTTAGACCTGAGAAATAACAATAACCAGGAGAAAAATGACAAAGGAGGCCTGTCTTAGTTTTTGCTCTATTGCTAAAGAGATGCCATGACCACAGCACCTTTTAGAAAATTTGGGACTGACTTACAGTTTCAGAAGTTTAGCCAATTATTGTCATGGTGGCGCACAGGCAGACGTGGAGCTGGAGGAGGAGCTGAGAGTTCTACATGTTGATGCTCAGGCAGCAGGAAGAGGCAGTGGGCATGGCTTGGGCCTCTGAAACCTTATTGCCCACACCCAGTGACATACTTCCCCCAACAAGGCCACACCTCCTAATTCTTGCAAACAGTGCTACTCCTTAATCATTTAAATATGTGAACCCATGGCGGCCATTCTTCTTCAGACCATCACAAGACCTGTTTTTACGCTGTCCCAAAGACAATAAAGGCTGTATAATATTAACAGAACTGAAACATGTTCATAATGTCCAGGGCATGTTGATCAAGGATGGACCATACAAAATGAGAGACTAGAGAAATAATCAACCCAAGAAAGGCTAATTAATAAAGCACAGTAGAAAATTCGGATTTTAATCCTGAGAGTAATGAGAATTCTAGAAGAGTTTGGGGGAATGTGTTTGTGTGTGTAGGGGGTAGATGTCCATGTGCACAGCATACAATTGTGGTCAAAGGTCAGAGGATGAATTCTGGTTTGGGGTCCTTGGCACCTTCCATCTTTCTGTTAGACAGAGTCTCTCATTGGCCTGGAACATCACAGCATAGGAAGGCCAGCTAGCTGACAAGATTCTGGGGCTCTGCCTGTCTCTGCCTCCTATCTCATGCACATCACTGGGATTACTATGCTAGGCTTTTTTTATGTGGGTTCTGGGGATTCAAACTCAAGTCTTCATTCTTTTGGTGCAAGTGCTCTATCAACTGAGCCATCTACCAGCCATTTTCCCCCCTTACTTAATACAGAAATTTCCAAACACATTAGGAAGCTGAAATGGGAGTGTCCACCACTAACATCTCATTAAGTTTGCTCTGCCACATAGCCAGCCATCATTGAGCTGTAGCCCAGGGTGTGTGAGGAGGCAACAAAATGATTAAAGATCAGAGGCAAGGAGAAAAACTGGGAGGTGCTGCCATTATTCAGACTAGAGATGATGCTGATTTAGGTTTGTGACTCAGTAAACCTTGAAAGATACTGAAAACATATAAGTATATGCACTTGAACTTGGCAGTGATAGGAAGGGCTAAAACTTCTAATTAGGAATACAGACTCAAGAGTCAGGTTACCTGCAATCAAATCCAAGTAGTGCTACTGATTAATTCCTTTCCCGTGCCTCAGTTTTCTCTTCTGTGAAATGGGCATAAAATCAATCTACTTCTCAGGGTAGATATTGAGAGTACATAAAAATGCTAAGTACATATAACTTAGAACACAATCAGTCACATATTCAGTACTACATGAGTGGATACTGTATTCTTAGTAACCTTCTTGAAAAGGTAAACTTCTGGTATTGGAAAGTTATGAATCAGAATTACAGATTTATTATTTACTATCTGTAGAATATGACATTTTACAGAGAGCGCCTCTCATTTTTAGAATGATTTGAGACTCAAAATAATTTATTTCCAGAAAGGCAGTTGAGTTTCTGGTAAAGATGTTGGGGGCGGGCTTGTGAAGAGATGGGGTATGGTAAGTCACAGAGCTCAGCGTCAGAATCTTACCCCTCTGTCTGCCCCTAGGCTGCTGCCATCCGCCATTTAGAGGATGCAAACAATGAGTTGAACAGAATCCTGAAGTCCAGCTACGATACTGAGGTTGTCATCTCCTGTAGGTAAGTCTTCCTTTGCTACTCATCCTCTGGGGTATCCTAGGCTGTTCTAAGGTGATGCGATATGAGGCTCACTTTGAAAGTCTGGGGTTTCAAGGCCAAGGAAAGTATGTATTTGTCTTTTCTAATCATTTTCACTCAACTCTGATTTCCTGCGTTGAACGTTAAAGGTAAAAAAAAAAATATGAGGCTGGAGGGAGGAGTCATGCTGCTCAAAAAAACATCAGGCAAAATTGCAAGCAGCTATTTGGAAAGAAGGCAACTGAAGGCACCCAAAACATTCTAGATAATCCAACAGCACAGACACCTGAGTTGGCTCTGGAAAAGGTCTCTTCAGTGCTTGTGGGTACCTGCTTGCTTGTTTGCTTTTTATTTTCAAATTTGTATTATTTGCCAATTTAAGCTCTATTCATTTTTATAGGTTACATATATACCCAGTACAAAATTAAAAGCACAAGTGTCTCCCATGCATGTCTTTGGGAATGTCGAAACTCTTTGTGGCTGGGTATCCCTGTAGTTTAATTCTTCCCAAACTTTAGCAATCATTTTAAATGTACAATAGCATATAATGCTTGTCATCTTATAAAAATGTTTGATTCATTGAACACCATATCTTAAAAATCATTCCTTGTCCACACATCAAGATTTTTCTTATTAAAATATTAGTTTTGAAATTTTCCTGTGTATTTATACAATGAAACGTAACTATATCTACCCTCCTTTCACTCAGTCAGAGACTCTCACATATTCCCAGTACTACCCCAAATATATGTCTTTCTTTTTTGATAACCCACTATTTCAGTTAATGCTATCCACATATGCATGGGTGTGTGACCAACCTCTAGAGTATGGGACACCTATCAGTGGCCATGTCCTCAAAAAGCAGTGATTGTCCCTCCTTCAGCAACTGCTTACTACCAATAGCGTCTCAGTAGGGGGTGGGCCGTGGCCATCATCTACCCCATCTAGGCTGGGATTTTGGCCGGCTTGAGCTTCTGAAGGTAACCACAGACACTGTGAGCGCCTAAGTACAGAGGCCACGTCCTGCCCAAAAGACAGCACTTGACAGCACACATCCTGTCTTGTCTTATCTTTCCACTCTTCTGCCATATCCCTGAGCTTTCGTGGTAGTAGGATTAATGTAAGCGTCTTCTTTGGCGCAGTGCAATCAATCTTTTATTCTCCTCACTGAATGTTGTGAGAAGACTGTGCATTAGCTTCCATTTGCTGCAAAAAGAAGCTTCTCTGACCAAGGTGGAGAGCAGCCCAGGTCTATGAGGCTTAAGCAAATATTTAGAAGGCAATTTGGCAAGATGACCATTTAGCAAACCAATAGCAGCAGGTTATACCCTAGGGCCTATGACCTTCTAACCTATGGGCTTTTGAGAAGGCCACAGTAACAGGTGTGAAATGACTTTCTGTGGAAAATGAAAAAAAGAAAGGAATGAAATGTCTGCCCTGGCAATGCTGAAGCATGCCTGGGCAGCCCGTATATGGCAGTTCTGTTTAACTTGTCCATATTGGGTTTCACGGTCTAAGTTGATGAGGACAACTGACCAGGTCTCTTCCTCAGGAGGGCACCAGATCTCATTACAGATGGTTGTGAGCCAACCATGTGGTTGCTGGGAATTGAACTCAGGACCTTTGGAAGAGCAAGCAGTGCTCTTAACCGCTGAGCCATCTCTCTAGCCCCACTTCCTCTGGAGAGGGCCTCAAATTCAACCATAAATCATAGTTACCGCCATTAACAGTCATACCATTTCTGCACCTGTGGGCACATTTTGCCTCACAGAATGAGACTGTAGCCTGCAGGACCCAACAGTGGATGAGATCATTGATGCCTTACCTTCCCCAGCAGCCCGCCTCTTATGACACTCTGAAAGGTACCCAGCAGGAGAAAGCTTCCCAGATGGTCTGAAATTGATTCCTCTGTGTCATGCAGCCAAAGTCTATGGTGTTCTCCTGAATAGAGTCTTACCATGGAGTTATGGTGGGTAACCAAGGGCAATGCGATAGCTTGTGTTATTTTAGATACCTCTGGTGCTCCCTGACCAGTAAGTAACTCATAGGGAGGTAGCTCATGCCTTGCAATAAAATTTTAAATAATGAGCCTTGTGTCCTGGGAAAAACATTGTTTATCCATATAAGAGAATTCCACTGTTTCTTTTTAAAATTGTGTTAATTTTTAACAAGTGGGTTTCCATATTTTTCAAACATCCTTAGGTTTGTTTAACCTACTCACTACCTCATTTCTCTGTCCCATCTTTTACCCTCGTTCCCTTTTAATTTTTTAGCCCCTCTACTTCCATATTTTACCATTTTTATATTTATTTTTGTCTTTTTTATTTTCATTTAATTATAAGATTTAAAAGTTTTTTCTTGATTTCATTCTTATTTTTAATATTTATTTATTGATTGATTGATTGATTTTACATCCTGACCAAAGTTTCCCCTCCCTCCTCTCCTCCCTGTTCCTCCTATCACCTCCCCTCTGCCCTCTCCATCCACTCCTCCATTTCTGTTTGGTAAAGGACAGGCCTCCCATGGATATTAAGCAAACATGGCATATCAAGTTGTGGCAGGACTAAACACTTCTCCTGTATTAAAGTTGGACAAAGAAACTCAGTATGAGGAATAGGTTCCCAAAAAGCCATCAAAAGAGTCAGAGACAGACCCTGTCCCTGCTGTTAGGACATCCATAAGGAGGCCAAACTATACAACTGTCACATGTATGCAGAGTGCCTATGTCAGGCCCATGCAGGATCTGTGATTGTTGATTCAGATTGTGTGAGCCCCTATGAGCCCAGGTCAGTTGACTCTGTAGGGTTTTTTTTTTGTAGTTTCCTTGCCTCTCTGGCTCCTACAATCCTTCCTCCCTCTCTTCAGCACAATTCCCTGAGCTCCACCTAAACTTGGTTGTGGGTTTGCATCTGCTTCCATCAGTTGGATGAAGCCTCTCTGATGGCAGTTAAGCTAGGCCTCAACCTACGAGTATAGCAGAATATCATTGCTTTGACATTTTTTTTCTTCAGTTGTGTTTGGTTCTATCCTAGGTCTCTGGGCCACCCAGCTTCTAGGTCCTGGTGCCCCAGGCAGTGTCAGAGGTGGGCTCACTCTTGTGTCATGAGACTCAGGCTGGACCAGTCATTGGTTGGCCACTCCAATCTCTTATCCCATCCTATATGGCCATAGGCAGGACAGACTATAGGTTGAAGGCTGTGTGTCTGGGTTGGTTCCCAATTCCTGGTAGTCTTGCCAGAGCAAAGGAGATGGCCAGTTCCAGTTAAGTATTCCCTATTGCTGGGGGGCCTTAGCTGGGGTGATTCCTGGGAATTTCCCCTGCACCAAGCTTCCACCTGACCCTGAAATGATCCCCTTACTAGTCCTCTCTTTCAGTACTCTCCCTCACCTCATCTCAACTTGATCCCTCATGTTCTCATCCCCACCAGTCCCTAGTCCATCTACCAGATTGCTTCTATTTCCGCTTACCAGGGAGGTCCAAGTGTCCGCACTTGGGTCCTCCTTGTTACCTAGCCTCTCTGGGTGTGTGGATTGTGGCAGCTAGTATCCTCTTATGAGTGAGTACATGCCATGTTTGTCTTTCTGGGTGTCACTCAGGATGATTTTTTTTTTGAGTTCCCTTCATTGATTTTAGCAGCTGAGTAGTACTCCATTTTGTAAATGTACCACATTTTCTTTATTCATTCTTTGTTTGAGGGACATCTAGGTTGTTTCCAGGTTCTGGCTATTATAAATAATGCTGCTATGAACGTAGCTGAGCAAGTGTCCTTGTGGTATGATTGAGCATCCTTTGAGTATATGCCCAAGAGTGGTATAGCTGGGTCCTGAGGTAACTCAATTTCCAGTTTTCTGAGAAACTGCCATACTGATTTCCAAAGTGGCTGGACAAGTTTGCATTCCCACAACATCCTCTCCACCATGAGCTGTCACTTGTGTTTTTAGTATTAGCCATTCTGACAGGTCTAAGATAGAATCTGAGTTTTTTTTGATTTGCATTTATTTCACTCATGGCTAAGAATGTTGAACATCTTCTTACGTGTTTCTTTGTCATTTGAGATTCTACTGCTGAGAATTCTGTTTAGATCTGTACTCTATTATTAATTGGATTATTTGGTTTGTTGTCTAGTTTCTTGAGTTCTTTATATATTTTGAAAATCAGCCCTCTGTTAGATGTAGAGATGCCGAAGATCTTTTCTCCTTTTGGAACCTGCTATTTTGTCCTAGACCATGTCCTTTGCCTTACAGAAGCTTTTCAATTTCTTAAGGTCTATCTTCCTGTCCATGCTGTTGATGCTCAGGAAGTTGTCTCCTATGCCAGTGCACTTAAAGCTATTTCTTACTTTCTTTTCTATCAGTTTCAGTGTATCTGGATTTATATTGAGATCTTGATCCACTTGGACTTGAGTTTTGTACAGGGTGATAGATATGGATCTATTTGTATTCTTCTACACGCCAACATCCAGTTAGACCAGCACCATTTGTTAAAAATGTTTTCTTTTTTCCATTGTATAATTTTGGCTTCTTTGTTGAAAATCAGGTGTTCATAGATGTATGGATTTATGTCTGGGCTTTGGTTTCAACTTCATTGATCGACTTGCCTTTTTTTAATGCCAATACCATGTTGTTTTTATTGCTCTAAACTCTGTAGTAGAGCTTGAAAACAGGGATGGTGGTACCTCTGGAAGCTCTTTTACTATACAAGTTTTAGCTATCCTGGTGTTTTTTCCTTTTCCATATGAAGTTGAGAATTGTCCTTTCAAGTTCTGTGAAGAATTGTGTTGGAATTTTGATGGAAATTGCATTGAATCTGCATATTCCTTTTGGTAGGATAGCTATTTTTACTATGTTAATCTCAGTGATCCATGAACTTGGGAGGTCTTTCCATCTTCTTATATCTTCTCTTGAAGTTCTTGTCATACAGGTATTTCACTTGCTTGGTTAGAGTTACACCAAGATATTTTATATTATTTGTGCCTATTATG